AGAATATATATATTGTTCTATTTATATTTACATTAAATTAATTACATTTTATTGCTACTGAAGAATATTTTTCTCATTGTTTAATGTTATCATTAAAGTTAATATCACCAAAATAGTCATGGACAAATGTGATCACTGTATATATAAGATATGGTGCCTCCTGCATATGTGTGATTAAAAATATGTAAAGAAAAATTCTGACTTTAATTTTCAATAGTCTCTTAACTCTCTATATTAAATTAGAAACTTCTCATTTTCTAAGCTGCTTCATTTTAAAATAAGCAAAGTCAAATGATTCGTACATAATGTTAATGCTGAAGAAACTTAGGCAGAGATTCAGCCAATAACAATTTTAGAAAACTATTGATTAGAAAATCAAAATAAAAGTATAACCCAAACTAATTCATTTTGAATCAAGATTTTTTCTTAAACATGTTGCAGTCTGTTCCCGCTTAGCTAGATTACAGTCTGCTGCTTCTATACGGGATCAATTGAATGTGGGAATAATCTACAAATGCTTTACCTTAAATATAAATATATAAATTTATATCCTATTTAGAAATACAGGGTGTCAATAATTTAATCACCAAATAACAAACTAAAATTTAAACATAATTTTAAAAAGTAACTGGAAAAAATTTATATTGATATAATCTTCAGTTAACAGAATTTCATTTGTTCTAATTTTTGAGAATGACATCGGGGACTTATTGGTTTACAGACAAAATGGGATCACACAATGAAAAAGAAATGTGAGGTCTCTGGTTATGGGGAATGAAATACATCAAAGTCATTAATTCGGACACCATATCCGGAATGATCCAATCCACTCAAAGCTAAAATCTTTCTGCCATAGGCGTTTACCGTGCGCGCAAGACAAAATTTAGCAAAACAGCTTAGCTTTCGTCACCAACTTTGTGATATACAGCCAGTCATGTATAACGGACACTATTAAGCTAGGAAAAAATTATCTTTACTGATTGTAAGGCATTTCAATTAATGTAGTGGACTGCGCTGCTCCGTAATCTTTTAGTTTGATCCAGCTTATTATTTTTAGCAGACTGTTATTATTACGGCAATTTTTTAAAAACTAAGCTTGAACTTTTAATTATGTCGAAAAGAGTTCCCAATTCCGGAGCTCCCAAGGATCTACAAAGCGAAACCATGTTTCGATGTCCATTAAACAAACAGTGAAATTGCTGCAATAAATGGATAAAGGCATATCCTTGTCTATCTAACCGTTCCGGAATCTGTTTTATCAATTTCACGCTGTCTGCGCGGGGGAGGGGGAACGTCGTGGCGCGCAATGAACTGGAGTTTGATCTGTCAGCACTATCGTTACTTCAGGGCAGATGTTTTTATTTATTCGGCTTATAATTCCTTACTATGTAGTATTTCATCTCGATGTTACTCCGTCTTTATATGATTTAAATCAAATTCCTCGTCATTATAAATATCACGAATACAATCAATAGTTTTCTGATTGCAATTTTCTAATTTCGCTTGTATGTATGCATGCGCATACGCGCATTGAAAGAAATATTTAATAAAGTAAAAAAAAATATTAGCTTCTTTTCTGTAAATTTTGATACCGTTAGATATAATTGTCATATTTATAAATTACGGTTTCATATTTTTAATTTTATAATTTCTGCATGCCATCTTACTAGATTTAAACTGATGATCTATAATCTGGAACCGCCGAAGTCCTGACGAGTCCGGATTAAAGATTTTGACTGTATGTAAAAATAGTTAACAGGCAAATTTGGCATGAATTTAATAAACCTCCATCAATGGAACAATCATCAAAAGGATGGTTCAAACAGATTTGAGAGACCATACGAGGGTTACTATTTATGTTTTCGGCCTAATAATGAAAAAGCAAATGTTTATGATTGAAATTGGTTTTACCATATTTCAAAATATTCTCCATGATCAATATACTTTTGAATGCAATTGAAGCCAATTTTTGAAGCACTTTTTTCACTCCAATTGAGGTAACTCCAAAACATTCTTTTTGAGTGTATCAACTGCTTCTTCCGGAGTCACAAATGCTAACCATATAATTTATTCTTGATGTGCAGGAATTAAAAAAAAGTCATTGGGTGCAAATCAGGGCTGCATGGGAGATGACCTATCAATTCAATGTTTTGGTACGTCAAAAATTCCTTTGTTTGAGCCAATGTGTGAGAGCTCACATTGTCATGATGAGGAATGTTCACCTCTTCTGCTTTTTTCGAATTTTTCTGATGACTTCAGGCAAACAAACGGTCATGTACCATTCGGAATTGACCTTCCTGTGTTGCTCTAATGCCATTGTCACCATATGACTGGTAATGCTGAAGAAACAGGCAACCATTTACTTTGATGTGCTTCTTCCACAAATAACTTTTGTTCATTTGGCTCATCCTGGAAGACCCATACAGTTTACTGCTGTTTTGTTTCAGGCTCATATGTATAGATCCATGATTCGTCATTTGTGCAAATGGTTATACACAGCCTTTAATACACCTTGAACGCACTTTTCCAACATTTCTCTTTGCACCAATCGACACAAGCATTCTTTAGAGCCATCAGATTATGCAGGATCCAATGCGAACAAATCTTTTTTATGGCCAAATAATCACATAATATCTTGTTAATGCTTGTAATACTAATGCCCAAAGATACCTCAATCTCAAGGTCACATGATGATCTTGCTTTATCAGTTCATGCACAGCATTGATATTTTCTGGTGCAACCTTTATGGAATTTGTAAAAGAACGAACGTTGACCCCGATTCAATTCGCTATACCAGTTTTTTTACTGTGCTGTAGGATGGTGCTTTATCACTTTATAAAGAATTACATACATTGAAGCACTATTCTATCTTAATAATCCACATTGAAAGTTAAGAAAATAATCACATACTTTAGATCGGAATTGCCTGCAGTTGCCTAGCAAAACTGACTGTTGCCAAGGCCAGAAATATAAATAGCAACCTTCAAACATGTTTTGCATAAAGGATCTGCAGGTAGACCAAGAATCAGTGATGAAAATGTTTCCGCCATTTGTGATGTGTTTGTGCAAATTCCCAGCAAATCCATTCACTGTGCCAGCCTGCAAACAGAAATTCCCAGGCGGACTGTTCATAAAATTGTTCTTGCATGATTGAAACTGACTTCTTATTAATTGCAGATTTGTAAACAAATCAAATCCAATGATTGAGTCATTCATAAGGAATTTCCTGTAGACATTCTTGAACGTATCAGTAATGATAATCGTTTCTTCACAAAAACATATTTAGTGATAAAGCAATATTTTATGTTTCAGGAGAGGTTAACTGACTTAATTGCAGGATTTTGGAAACAGTAAATCTGTACTGTGTTAGGAAAACTGAGCAATGTAGTCCTAAAATTAATGTCTGTGTGCACTAACTCATAACAAAGTAATTGGTCTCATCTTTTTTTCCAAGTCATCCATTGATTCGGACATTTACTTTGATATACTGAGATCGTTTGCTGCAGTGTAATTAGAAGAAATGTAGCCAAGCATTTTTTCCAACAGGATGGGAACCCTGTCATTGGGTTACACATGTGCACAACAATTTTCTTGATGAAATATTCTCAGATCTTTGGATTAAGGTACAGGTGCACCAATTTCACAGCCACCCCGTCTTCCGGATGTCACAACACTTGACTTTCTTTACCCTGAAGAAGAGTTTATGCTCCAGAGTTTCACAACATCGAAGAATTAAAAAACTACAAAACCAGAGAATCACTACAGAAACCAGAGATTTCGCAAGATGCTTAATAATGTCGAGAAGGAAATTAAGAACAGACTTTTGATATTCTCCGAGTAACTAATCGTGCTCAAGTTGAAGTGTATTAATATAAAAATTCCTCAATACAATTCTGTCAGTCTATTTTCCCTATCTCTTATTCTGTATTATTTAAAACATATCTTTATCCATTCAATTACTTATGGACATCCTGTACATAAATCAATATCCTATTTATGAAATAAACTATTTATTATACAGACATTAAAAATAAATATTTAATTATAATATAGCATAGCATAGAATACTCACTAGATTAAAATTATTCTGATAAAAATAATTTTAGTACAATATTTATACCTTTGATTCTGTACTATTTACAGATTTGGGCAATTTATTTTCATAAATTTCTTCAGCTCGCATAAGATATAAGTATACTTTTTTACGGACAGCATCACTTAAATCAGGACATGGTTCTTCTGGAAAAGAAACCAGCAACAATTACTTTATTGAGATTAATATAAAATTAAGATTCTTACAATAAACATAAAATTATAGAACACATTAAACATACAAAATAAAAATTTCAAATTAACAATTTTATTTTAGTAGTAACAATCATTTATATCATCATATCTATAATATAAACCATTTAAGAATACTAAAATTTGCTTTTTATAAATTAAAAAATTGGAACTGAAACACTAATGTAATTAAACGCAAAAAAGGTCTAGTAGTACCTTGGTATATATCATTAATCTGCTCCAGTTCCTTGGACATACACTAAGCAAGCTTTTCAAAATGCTTTTCTGCCAACATTTTGGTAGTTTTTCAAAGCCTTCAGCCTATAAACTTTGTGATCATGAGTCCAGAAACAGATCAACCTCATTTTGGTTGTCTTATGCAGAATGGAAGATAGCACCAGCAAGATATAGCTGTAGGTGTGAAAAAAGGTAAAAAAGTCCAAAGCAGCAATGCCGGACTATTGGTGGGTGCGACAAAAGATCCCATTCGAGTCTGTACAGAGTTCAGCCAGTGAATGCAGACAAATGTGGTCTTGTATTACCTTGATGGAACATTACTTTTTTGTGGTGGAACTCAGTTTGATGTTTTCTCTTGATAGTAACACGGACTAGCATCTCGCTAGACACCTTACTGTCAAGGGTTTTACCTTTTTCAAGATACACTTTGTGGATAATACCATGGCAATCCCACCAGATACAAAGTATGATTTTTTTGCTATTCAAATTGTGCTTTGCAATGCTGCTGACAGGCTCACTGGGTGCAGAAAACCCCTCTTTATGGCCTGTGTTGTTGGAGTAAATTTACTTTTATCACAAGCGACGATCCAGTCGAGTAGTTGCATACTGATCTTCCACAAGTTCTGGCAGTAATGTAATAGTCCTTGTTTTTGAACTTTTGGTACCAAATCTTCACAGTGCTATATGATGCAACATTAGTACCTAAAGCTATACACATGATTTGGTGATATTCAGTAGCTGAGTTTTTGCAACAGAACTTGATGATGTACGTAAATGATGGTTGTAATCTGGTAGTGTGATAGTTTCATTTCAGACATCTTGTACTTAATAATAACAGTATTTTTTTACAAATTTCGCAACACAAAGTTGTTATAAAGCAAGTCTCTTTCAAATGCCAAAATTTGTTTGACAAAATATGATTAAACAGGCCAACGTGAGCTGTTTGCACAGACAATATTTGTGGTGGTGGGAAACTTTCATTAAATTCCAATATAGACTATACATAAGCAAAGCACTGGGCATGATGTTTTTCTGCTACCAAGATCAAAAGCAAGTTTTTAACTTGCTCTAATGTCTCTGATTTAATCAGTTTCAGCCCCTTCACAATGTCAGCTGATTTAAGAGCGTCTTTGATTTTCACAATCGTAGACATTATCATCCTGGCATATGGTACACAACAACCAAGTTTCAGATATACATTCTATCTCCATAGTTTCTAACAATCTCTCTTTTTTATCTTCATGGTGATCCTAAAAATTTTCTCTGTAGCATTTCATTAGCTTTCCTAAATCTCCTTCTTAAAATTTCCAAAAACTTGGGGGGGGGGGCGAGGACACCACCCACAAAATCGCTTGAAAATTTAAAACAGTAGTGCAGTTTGTTTACTGAATAGTAGTAACTAGCAACTGCTATACTGTTGCCCATGGGTAATACTAGCATTGTCTCAAAAGATGTAAACAAGTGTAGTGCACACAGTCGTGACTTACCATATTCCAAACAAAAAAACATACACCAAACAACATTTTCATGTCCACCTAAGATGCATACCAAGTTAGATGTATTTCAAAATGGAAGTACACTAAGGTACCACCGAACTAGTTAAAATGGCCACTGTGGGTGCTAAGTTGCCAAAATTGATGAATTTATTTGCCCAATCTGTAACATGCAAATTTTATATACTGTGAAAGGCTTATGCAGTAACTGTTTTAATGAAATATCAAAAATCTTTTTTCTTTTCCTCTTTTTCTTTAATTAAGATTTTTGAAAAACCAAAATTTACTTAAGTACTTGCAAATGACATACTGAAAGTACCTCTCAGATATATTGGAATGGAAGAGACAATATATTTCATCTGATTTCAAATGTAAATTATAGCATCTGAGAATTCAACAAAGCCTTATATAGTATTCAATCATATCTTGCAAAAAAACCGTTTCGACTTAAAAAATCAATAAATCTATTTAAAAATTTAAATGCCATAGACCAAAAAGGATTTAGCACTTTTGAGATATTTGTTAATATTCTGAACTCAAATTTATTTTATATTGTTTCTTTAAAATGTATTTAGCCCTTTTTTTACACAGTGAAAATCGTTTAACATGAAAGAGGGGACTGAAATATTTTTCATATTAAAGGATATCTAAGATTATTGTTTTAATTTAGATGAAAGGTTAATTTCATATACAGTCAAAAGTCTTTAATCTGGACCTCAAAGATACAAACTTTCTGTGCATGCATAAACTCATAATGCGTTTACGCATGAGCATATGACCTTTTCGCATGCGCATAGTACGTTTACGCATGCGCGTTTAATGTATAATGAACGGTATAAGATAAGCTAAAATTATCTAATTATCTATTTCAGTTAATGTTGCAGATTGCATTGTTCCTTAATCTTCTAATTGGATCTGGCTTATTATTTTTTGCAGACTGTTAGAGCAATTTTATAAAAGTAAGCTTGAACTTTCGATTATGTCAAAAAGAATTTTCGATTCTGGAGCTGCCAAAGGATCTACAAAGAGAAAGCAAGTTTCGATGTTCATCAAACAAAAAGTGGAATTGCTGAAAAAAATGAATAAAGGCAAATCCTTTGTTTCTCTAACCATTCCGAAATCTGTTTATCAGGGGGGGGGGAGGAACGTCGCGGCGCTCAATGAACTGGAAGTTGATGTGTCAGCACTATCCTTATCTTCAGGGCAGATGTTTTTATTTTACAGTCAAAAGTCATTAATTCGGTCACCCATAATCCGGACCTCAAAGCTACAAACTTTCTACGCATGCGTCGCACAGGCGTTTACGAGAGCGCGTAAGACCCTTACGGCTGCGAATACGTTTGTGCGCATGCGTGTTTAATGTGTAACGGAGTTATACGCTAAGCTAAAGTTATCTAATTCAGTTAATGTTGCAGATTGCGTTGTTCCTTAATCTTCGAATTGGATCCGGCTTATTATTTTTTGCAATTTTTTTTAAACTGTTAGAGCAATTTTATAAAAGTAAGCTTGAACTTTCGATTATGTCAAATAGAATTTACGATATATATTTACTACAAAGCGAAAGTATGTTTTGAAATCCGAAATCTGTTTATCAATTTCATGCTGCTCTGCGGCAGAGGGGGGGGCAGAAACGTCATTATTAGATTATGATAGATTAGAAAGATTATGTCAAATAGAATTTCCGATATATATTTACTAATATGTAATTTGTATCTACAAAGCGAAAGTATGTTTTGAAATCCGAAATCTGTTAATCAATTTCACGCCGCGGATTGGAAGTTGATCTGTCAGCACTATCCTTATCTTCAGGGCAGATGTTTTTATTTTATTTGCTTTATAATTCCGTACTAAGTGTAGTATTTCATCTCGATGTACTCCGTCTTTGATATGATTTAAATCAAGTTCCTCGTCATTATAATTAGCTTCCGATAGTGAAGAAAGTGACCCAGAGGTTATTGAAAATGAAAACCTTTCGATTGACAAATTAGTCGGTATTCTCAACACAACAATTATAGGACTTGAACAACGGAACTTTGTAACTAAACAAGAAATTATGTCTGTTTATAGAATTAAAGAGAATGTATTATCACATAAAAAACGAAGCAACTTACATTGAAAGAAATGTTTAATAAAATAAACAAATAAATATTAAGCCTTTTTTTTTTGTAAATTTTGATACCCTTTAGATCATAATTGTTCTTTATTTCATAAATTACGGTTTCATATTTTTAATTTTGTAATTTCTGCATGCCATCTTACCAGATTTAAACTGATGATCTATAATCCGGAAAAATCGATAATCCGGAATCGCCGAAGTCCCGACGAGCCCGGATTAACGACTTTTGACTGTATTTGGCTTATAATTCCTTACTAAATGTAGTATTTCATCTCGATGTACTCCGTCTTTCATATGATTTAAATCAAATTCCTCGTCATTATAAATATCACGAATAAACATCAAATAGTTTTCTGGTTGCAATTTTCTAATTTTGACTATGCGTAATGTACGCTTTACGCATGCGCTCGTTGAAAGAAATGTTTAATAAAGTAAACAAATAAATATTAAGCTTTTTTTTTTTTTTTGTAAATTTTGATACTTTTTAGATCATAATCGCTCATTATTTCATAAATTACGGTTTCATAGTTTTAATTTTATAACTTCTGCATGCCATCTTACCAGATTTAAACTGATGATCTATAGTCCGGAATCGCCGAAGTCCTGACGAGTCCGGATTAAAGGATTTTGACTGAAATATGTTTTTATTATTATAATTTATATAAAAAAGGCTAAACATAACGGAATGGAATTAAGAGTAAACAACTATTTCAGATCATTATTATAATTTATATAAAAAAGGCTAAACATAACTAAATGGATTCCTGCATTGCTATTTCTCTACCAAGTTATCGCTGAAGCATAATTTCATCTCGTTGGTTGTTCAAACATAATTTTCTATAATAAATGATGAATATTCTTTGAAAAAATTCTTCTGCAGACTTTTCATCACTGGGCAATTCCCAAATTGTTAAATCCATAGCATTATCAAAAAAGGATTTAAAATTTAAACTAGTACTTCAGTGGCATCTTAAGAAATATAGAACTATCTAAACTTACATAATTTGAAATCAGCAGGTACGCTAGATTTGGCGTGCTGTTAAATGGGCGTGTTTACTAGATTTGGCACTTTTCTGCATACATTTTTGCTGCAATTTTTTTAGTCCTCAAAACAGAATAGTACCAAAAAAAAAAAAAAAAAAAAAAAAACATATTCAACAATATTTAAGTTTATTAGAATACATAGATATAATGAGCAGGAAATTGGAGGCGAATGCAGATTTAAATCTTCATTTCTTATTTTAACAAACATGTTGCGGCGAACAATCAAGTTGGTACATTAATTGTGCCTATTCCAAGAGATTTTACATTTTAGCTAAATTTGCAAAGAAGGAAAGAGCAGACAGACTGCAGTCTGGAGAGGCCAATTCATGGAAAGCAAGTGCGTAATGTTCAGGATGAAATCTTAAGTCAGATTGAGTTAGTTTTGGTTCTCAAAGCATTCTGATTGGATGGTTAATATTGCTGTAAAATTATTATTGGCTGTTAAGAGTTTTAGTTCTGCTTACATCATCATAATTATGTAAGAGTCATATGACATAAGATTTTTCTTGAAATGACGCAGTGCAAATAGATGTTGCTATTTTTAGAATAGAGAAGGGAAATTAATTTACGCAGCTAATTTAATTTTTTACATATTCTTTTTCTTACATATATAAACATATATTTATTACATAGATATGTATATATGCATGTATTTAATAAAAATGAATAAAACAAAAACATCCACAAAAACGTATTAAAATTTAATACAAAATTTTCAAGTTTTTTGAAAAACAAAACATTTATTGAGTTTTTGGAAAATGAACTGCTATTTTTCTTTGCATGGTCCTTTTAGCATCAAATTGTTAATAAATTGTTCAATGTTGTCCATTACTTAGTCATTTCACCATTGGAATGTGCGTCTACACTGCACATGTTTTTATAATGTTCCTCATTTCGGATGACGTGTTAATAGGAGCTGCATTATTCATTTCATTTTCGTCGCCGGAATCTGCATCAATGATATTTTTTTAGCTTTGAACAAATTCCAAAATATCTTTGTCTGCCATAATTGGGGCTGTACACACATTATCATTATCTACTGCAATGAATTCTTCGGATAATATAGGACAGTCAAATAATACAGAAACTTTCTCAGACATTTTATTAAGTGTAGGCTCGTTACAATATCCTCCTTCTCCACTTTTTTTGATGCCAAAGAATCAGATACTTTTGAGAATCGTGCACAACGAAAACGATTTTCAATCGTCCTTGGAGTCGCCGAATTTGGAGAAGGCTGATCGGAGTCTTAAAATATGTTAATGGAAAAATGAATTTTGGAATAAGAATTCAAAAAGCTTTCAAACCTGGAATCCTGGAAGCAGATTGTGATGCTAATTATGGGAACAATATAATTGTACTCGAAAGTCAGTGTCTGGCATGGTACTTAAATATAGTGGTGGAGGTGATGGCAACAGTGTGCACCACTGAAGACGTACTTGAAAGTCAACGTCTGGCATGGTATTTAAATACAGAGGTGGAGCTATCAGCTGGATAAGCTGATGCCAACAGTGTGTTTCTTTAAGCACCACTGAAGCAGAGTATGTTGCAGCTAGTGAGGTTACCAAAGATGTAATAACTGAAGTGGCTATTTGAGGGCATAGCTTCTCTAAAGTATTTCCATCACTACAAGATGGCAATGGAAGTGCTGTTTGCCTGACTAAAAGCCTAGAATATCATCTAGGAACTAAACACATAGATTTTAGGCATCACTTTGACAAAGTTCTAAATCATGACTCCTTGTTGATCATATCTGTGGCAATGAACAACTTGCTGATATTTTTACAAAATCAAGGAAGCATTTTGAAACTCTAAGAGTATCATGAACATTTATCTATAAATTGAGTTCAAGTGGAAGTGTTAATATTATAAACTCAAGTTTATTTTATACTTTTGTTTTATATTGTTTCCTTGAAATGTATTTTGCCTTTTTCCTTACATTAATATTTATTTACATGTGCATTATTGAATTTTGTCTAGTTGATTTGGCTGCATAGTTTTGCAGTAAAAACACTATTCTAAAAAATGAAATGTGATGATACCTCTTGTTAGCAATTCGCACATTGTAGAAGGTATTGAATACTTTTTAGTTGCTTAATGTTAAATAAATTAAACTTAATGTAGCTTTGTATCACTGAATAATACTTTATTAAGAGTATTAAAAATTAGTTTCTTAGTCACATTTTGAATAAAAAAATATGACAAAAACATAAATATTACTTACTTTTAATACCCTGCAAAAGTACATCAATGGCCTTTTTATATGAATCAAAAGCTTCAGGATATTTACCACTTTCTTCTGCTTCTTGAGCATGCAATACATATTTGGAGGCATATATTATATATGAAGGTCGATGTGCTGCTTCACCTTTATAAGCATCAGGTGTCATTGCAAATTCATCACTATTACAAACATCATTTTCTGCTTCTTTAATAATATTTTGTTGAGAAACTAAAGGATCAAATTCCATTACATCACAAGTTTCAACTGACGCAGATACAGGAGAATCAAATGTGAAGTGTTGATTATTGCCAGAACCTAAATGATTTTTAACAAAATTTTTTCAGAACAAAAAGTATTTAATACTTACGAATTTGCTTTTGTAACTCCATATATGCTTGTGTAATGTCCACATTTTTTTTAACACTTATAAGTTTGATTTCTTGACATAACATGTACCAGTGTAATAACCAAACTTTTTATACAAAAATTTCAACACAAATTCCTAGGTTCAGCTATTATATTGGTCATACAGTTCTTAGTTCACATTAAGTTCAATAACTTATTATTTTATTTAAATATTAGTTACCTGAAAAGTTCTGTGGTCTTTCAAATCAAAGTACATTATCTTTTAATTATTTTGTTCCTGCTAATAAGCAGTGACCTTGATTGAAGCAAATATGTAAATATGGTATTTTCAACTCATGTTGCATAATTTCAGTATATGTCGTAGAATAATTTTTTTTCTTCAGTGCAGTGCAAATAATGAAGTTCATTTTTATCATATTATGCACTTTTATTTTTTAAAAAAATTCTCCTCGGATTGCTTCTAAAACGTGTATTGTGTATGGACATAATACTGTTTCTGATGACACAGTCTGAATGTGGTTTGAAAAGCTTAACTATGGAAATTTCAACATTGGAGATGATGCTCGCTATGGAGGACCAACCTCTGTAAACAAGGACATAATAGTTACCATGTTATACAGTTTAGGAACTATTTAAACACACTAAATACCCTAAAAAGTACACTACATAATCATTTGAAGAAGACTGTGTATATAAGTACTACAATGTACAGATGTGCTATACTTTGACAGAGTATAATATGCTTACTTGAATATTAGCATGATTCTTTTCTGAAACAAAATAAAGAAGATTATTTTCAAACCAGCTCATGACTAGAGATGAGAAATGGATACTATCCAATAATGCTTCAAGTGGGAAAAAAATCTTGAGTAAAGCAAATTAACCTCCTTCAATAACATCGAGACTGTATCCCAAAAAACGAATGCTTTCAGTATGGTGGAACTACAAATGAACTGTCTGTACTACTAAAATCTGTACATGTCTGTTTGTTTGTTTGTGGCATCATCTTATCCAGAATGGCAGAGAATCGAGAGAGGTACCCTCAGCTTCCAAAAATTTGTAGGAAACTGCTTTGATCATTCTCATCTTCATATGACTTTAATCAGCTGAAATATTGATTAAAAATTCTGAAAACAATTTTTCTCTGATTTTTGTAGCAAAAGTCTCTGGAGTTGCTGGAGATAAAAATGCTTTATTTTGAAAAGTGTTACCACTGCTCGATTTCAAATCGTCAAATATGTTAATAAAAAATTTGTACATTTTACAAAATATGAAATAAAAACAGCATTGCCAATCATCAAATATGTTATTATTATATAATGTCATATTCTGACATTGGAGAAAGCACACTATTGCATGTGACATCATTGCATGTCAAAATTTTTCATTAATGTAAGTCTTTTAAATAAATAGCTGCTGTTGGCAATTTTTTTGTTTCAGGTTAGGATAACTAACACAGTATGCTAATGCCATGTTAATTCTTTTATTGATAATGAGAAAAAGTTGTTATATTCTATTAAATGTAAATCATGATGTTATATATATATATGTTAACCTGAAGTGTCAAAAGTTTTTGTTTCCTGATTTGGCAATAAAAAAATTATCTACAAATTGGTTGTTTCTTGGAATGAAAGAACTGATTTTATTTATGCTAAAATGTCTTATGCATTTTCTTTTCAGGTGTACATAGAATTTTGCTTTGGTTGCAGCCAGCTTGTAAATTATGAATTATTGCTACCAAATCAGACAAATTCTGAAAAATGTTTCCAGATGGCAGCTTCCAGACGCATAAATCGAAGCAAAGCACACTGAAATGACGAATCGCAGAGGTGCTTTCTTTTATCATGACAATGCTCAGCCTCACATTTTAGTGAATGTTAGACAAAGATTTATTGATTGATTATTTAAAGATTCAGCCCTTTTTAATACAATGACAGATAAGAAATGAACTCATGATTTTACTGCTTGCAATGCTGAAAAACGCAAACATGCAAAAAGTGCAAATTCTTGCAAAAGATGGAAGCAGGTGCTCCTACTCGATTTATAGCAGAATGGTATGGAATTGCGACATGATTGTGTATGATATACGGAAAAATTTAAAAAAAGCTGTTGAAATTTTACAGCAACAGTGATTCAAACACCGGAAATCTTTGCATGAGACGAAATTGGCAAACCTCGATGCTGTGTACATATAATACAATGAATAATATAATCAATTTATATATGTAATAATAATTTAATGCATATAATAAATTAGTGCAATAATGTATATAATAATTTCATTAAATGTATCTAATACGCATTTTGCACTTTTGGTCCGAATATTATGCTATATCTTTTCTGTCCTGAAATACGCAAAATCTTAAAATCTGCACAAACTCTGGTCCTAAGCTTTGCAGACTTCTGGAATTCTACTGCAGTTATTTGTATTTTTTGATGAACTTCATCTTTTTTTTTTTTTACTACCATGAACAGGATTCTTTCCCCTTTAAATAATCTTCAGTTTTACACACTCAGTTACCTTTGAAAAATCCATTATTGTAATCCTTTTTCTAATGATGCCCTTGTCAATGGCGAAAATTAATTTTGATAGCAAAAGCCTCTGTTACCAAGGAAGTATCAGGAGTTACAAGCGAGATGTTACAAGCGAGATACATATTCTGTTACAAGCGAGATACATATTCAGTGGTTATATACAGAAATAGAGAAATCAAAATACTAGTGTAGAGATCAGTATTTTTTCTTACATCCCTTCCTAGATATGGAAATTACATGAGCATATATGGAATATATCTAAAATTTATAAAAAATACAAATTTATTTAATATATTACATACAATTAAAAGATAATTACATAATAAAAAATTTATTGTAGCAGCTATAGTTAAAACTAATGAAGTCAAAACAAACTTAAGCAGGTTTAATTACTACAATGTTGTTTAATAAAGATTAGTTACTTATTATTTAAAGAATGGTTTTATTTAAGCACTTATCATAAGGAGATAAAGTGTAAAACTTTGCCCATCACCTTTTATATATAAAAGCTCTATTTAATTTTGCCTCAAAATTGAATTAAGACTGAGTAATGATGAAATATAATGAAAAGTATACCTGAGTTTAAATTAAATGAAGATGTAGATTTATTTGATGGAGTTAGAGCTTCATCAATATTTTCAAAATCATCAAATGGTGTAGGAAATTCAAGCATGCCTTCAATATCTTTTTCAGTATTGGAAGTGCTACATGATTCTAATGCAGATAACAGCCAATTGTTGCACACATTATCTACAGTTAAAGGAGATTTGGCCTGTTCTGATCCATCATCTTTTGATTCAAGCAAAGGATCAAATTCAAATAAGTTAAAAGATGGCCTAGATATTATACTGTCATCATCAGTAAATGTAGTATGATCATCATCATCATCTGTACAATGAGAGCCCAAACTAATATTATCTGGAACCTGATGATGTTGCCATGTTCCTCCCAATGAATTATTTGATTCCTTACAGTTGGTTTCTAAGCTATAATGATAATAATTTTATAATATTATAGAATAATCAAACAGAAAACATACATCATATATAGTAAAAAACGTCAATAAATTTCATTCATAGAAATAACTGTCTCTTCCAAATCCTTTATAAGTTATATAAACTACTTAAAAAAATATCTGATGTACACCACATGACTTCCTCTTTATGGAATATTAAATTATACATTTTTCTTGCATTTCATTTAAACTTATTGAATTGAATTAAATCTACTTCATCAATAGCACATAAACTCCAACAGAATAAATGTACTCTTTAAAATTCACTATATTTACTTACCATAGCAACACTTTGATAGATTCACTAAACAGCATTACATCTCATTCATTTTATAACTCGGAATACACAAAAATTATATCTGAAGAATTATCTAACTGTTGCCACATATTCTATCCAAATATTATAATAAATCTAGAACAATGTATAAAAGAAATTAAACAAATAAAAAAGAAACAGTTTTTCACAGATGATTCAGCGCCGCTTACCTAATCCGCATATGCTACTCGCAAACATTTTAATTTGTCCGAGACAGACTCGCAACATTATTTACTACTAACATGAAATGCTTATTTCCTCAAAACTCATTAGAGACATATTTCTCATTCAATTACTTCTATTCTCGGTTGACAATGGGGCAAAAATACATAAAAACCTCAAAATATCTTCATTAAAAATTTTAAAATATAGGAAAAAATAGAACATCAAATACAGTTAAAACAATAAAAAAATTACAATTAAAATTAGAGTTTCTACAAAAAAACAAGCAATTTGCCCAGCAAGCAACAAGGCAGACTTTTCGGTGCACAAAAATGAAAGTTTAATTTTTGGTCCCACTTGGCAAAAAGATACTGAAGATGCAGAAACTGAATTCACTATTCTGCTAAGTTTCAAATATAAACAAATATGGCTGTTATGGTAAACAAAATTTAGGCTTAGCCACACATAACCAACTTTTAAATTGTTGACAATTCTACAACTATCACATGCAGATTAACTAAAGGCATAAAAACCTTAACTGGAAGATAAAAACAACATAATTCAATGATTTTTAAAGCAAAAAAATGCACAATTCACCAAAAAATAAGAATAAAAAATTCTGATGTGTACACAACTTCCTTGTACGGAATATTAAATTATATGCAATTTCCTGCATCTCATTTAAATATATTGAATCAATAGTTAATGAATTTTGCATTAAATCTACTTCATTGAAAGCGCATAAACCGCAACAGAATAAACGCATTCTTTAAAGTTTACTATATTTATTTACCACAGCAACATTTCGGTCTAGGCTCACTGAACAGCATTACATCTCATTGATTTTATAACTCAGAGTGCGTAAAAATTATATCATTACCAAAAAATATCACCTCTGCTTGGCTCTCCCTAGTGTACCTTTGCATGGTATCTTACATTTTTCACAACAAACTTTATCCTTCAATAATCCACAATCCATCAAAAAAAAAGTTCATACTCTCTTGTTAATTCATACGTACATAAAATATCGTACATAAAAATACTCGTACATAAAATATCTGTTTAGAATGCCTGCCTTTCCCAAACTTTAATGCTTGTTTGAAAATTCCCAACTTAAATTTTCCTTTAAAATCTCCTGATACTTAATTATAACATCACTAACAGCAGGTTTAGAGCAATTCATAACTAAATGCAAAAATCTTATATCCAGAACAGCATTCTCCATGATATCTGAGCATTAAACAATTGCCGAAAATAGTGTTACAAATTTTGTGTTTAGATAGTTAATTTGAGTAGAATTCTAATTAAAAATGTATTTCCCTATGCGATGTAGCACGAGACAAATTTTAAGAGAAAGCTATTAAAAATTATGGAAAAGTAAGAATACAGAGACACGTGCATTTAACTTTAAGTAAATGGATATCTCGGTAATTTGTATTGAAATTGAATAAATGTAAATGACCACTATGTTAGCTGAAACCGTAACTCCAACCACTTTATAAATCAGAAATTTATGGTTATTTACATTGCGTTTGCCGAATAGTATGGGTTCATAAACCGGTGTGTGTTGCCACATCATATCATTTATCACCATTCTTGGCAATACTTTTTGGTTAAAATTCTGAGTAGGCTATACTAAAGCTGTTTCAAATCTACTTCGTCGATACCGCATAAACCACAATTGAATAAATGCACTCTTTGAAGTTCACTATATTTATTTTTCATAGCGACACTTCGGCACTAGGTTCACTTAACAACATTACATCTCACTCATTTTATAACTCAGAGTGCAAAAAAATTATATCATCTGAAGAATTACCACATATTTTATTCAAAAACTACAATAAATCTAAAGCGATGTATAAAAGAAATTAAACTTATAAAACAGAAACAGTTTTTCACAGACGATTCAGTGCCGCTTACCTGAAGCACATGTGCTACTAATTAATTCAGTTCTCAGTTCGCAACAAGGCAAAAATACATAAAAATTCAAAATATTTTCGTTAAAAATTGAAAGATATAGAAAAACATAAAACACCAAGCACAGTTAAAACAAATTTTACAATTAAAATTACATTTTCTATGCAAAATAAGCTAATAACTTAAATGATAATTTCAGAATGAATTGAGCATAATTTAATTTGTAATAATAAAAGACTTTACTTTCTTGTTGTAAAGCTTATTTTCTCTAGATTGCCAACAAATCCACTATTCTGCTAAGTTATAAATGTAAACAAATATGGCTGATATGCTAAACAAAAATTAGGCTTAGCTGCACTTAGAAAACTTTTAAATTGTTGGTAATTCCACTATTATTGCATGCAGGTTAACTAAAGGCATAAGAATCTTAACCAGAACAATATAATTCAACCATTTTTAAAGCAAAAAATGCAGAGCGGTGATTGTAACCTAAATGGGAGGTGCATATTTACATGTTATAACAGTCCTATATACAAAATTTCAATGTTCTGAGGCTACTCATTTTTGAGTTATGTGAGATACATGTGAGTACGTGAAAAAATCTCTTTCAAATTCATCTTAAATCAGTTTTATAATTTTTTGGGGAAAAAGAGTCCTTTACTCTGTCCTTATGTACAGATGTCACGCAAAAATATTGTCAAATTGCATTAGATGGCAGTCAAATGGATATTTTTGTCAAAATAGTATACCCAAATTTTTTTGTGATTACAATATTTCCTTTTTACTTCATACAAGAAAATAAAAAACTGAGCCCACGGAGCCGAGTAACACAGTGGGTATATATTTATATACTTTTGATGCGGCCGATTGCAAACAAAAAGGGAGGTGCACAACTGTATATAATAGCAGTCATATATACAAAATTTCACTATTCTGACACTACTCGTTTTTCAGTTACGCGAGATACATGCATACGTATGTACAGACGCCACAAAAAAAAAAAAAAATTCTTCTGAACCTATTTTAAATCAGTTTTATTGTTTGTTTGAGAAAAAAGAGGGCTTTATCCTATCCTTACGTAGAGATGTAGCGCAAAAACATTGTTTAATTGCATTCAATAGCAGTCAAAATGGATATTTTTGTTGAAATATTAAACCCAGAATTTTTTGTGATTACAATATTTCCTTTACTCTGTACAAGAAGTAAACCAAAACCGCTAGAACACACACACACACACACACACACACAAAAAAAAAAAAAAAAAAAAAAATTCCAGAATGAATGATATTTAAAGCAAAAAAAAGTAATATTTGAAAAATTCTCTTGAATGCTATAAAATTTTCACTCAACTTTGACGCAAAAGTTCTATGAATTGAAGCTAAGCATTACTAAAAACTACTTTGAACTTCCAGTGGTTCATGCTGCAGCACTTCCTGACTTGATAAGAGCACAAAGACGATTAACCTAGGTTCTGCTGGAAAGCTTAAGGTTCCTCCCACTCCTTTGCATTGGTAGCACTGCTCAGCGTTGTACAATCGCTTCATGGTCAAGCGGGGCTCGTTACTTCCTGGACAAACCCTGTATTTACTTTCATTTGCCAGTTTTCCAAATAATAGCATGGAATTTTTCAACAATATATGTTGTGATGGCTCTGAGTTTCCAGAAATGACTTTTATTATAATAGCATGGAATTTTTCAACAATATATGTTGTGATGGCTCTAACTGGGTTTCCAGTAATGCCTTTTATTTTTAGTACATGTTTCATCATGTTTAAATTTGTTTGCTCAGAAATAAATGGCTTCAATGCTGATGGAGAATTTCCATGAATTATATTTGACTTCACTTCAAGAATGGCTCCCTAGATCAAAACATTAAATAAAAATGTTTTATATATGCATGGAACTTTTTTTTCCATTCCCTTTTGTTTTAATTGCTGTAATGTTAGTTTAAAAAATATGTAAAATATGAACTCTGTGATACTATTAGCTGAAATTTGCGTTGAGCTAGTTAGAAAAGTGACACTTGCCACCCTGCTGTCATCACATGAATTGTGCAACTGTCTCACAGAAATTGACCAGACTCATCAACTGTATTAATTATGGTTGATGAAATCAATTTCAACGCCTTTATGATTATATCTTTTTCAACCCTGACAACTATATTTTACTTCTAATAATCAAATTATGTTGCCTGTAACAATCCACTTTATAAAGCCTCAATTATATTTCTGACATTTTTTTTTTTTAAATTATCAAGTAACTGGATACAAGAGATTGAAACTAAGCATCATCAAGTGATTGAATGATAGAGTATTTTAAAAAAATATTTTAAATTCAAAAGATTAACCACAGTGTATTTTCATTACAATTGCATATCAGTTAAAACACAATTTGAGCTGAATAAATCTTTTTTCAATGGTATTAACCAGTGTGTGTGTGTGTGTATCCTAGCATCATCAAAGGATATTATTTACAGTTTTCCTCTTTTTTGGGTTTGTGGGTTTGATTTTAGTCAGTTCTTTGTTTGGCTTAATGAATATATGAGGATATTTCATCATCAAATGTTAAAAGGAAAATCATTACAAAAATAAGTTACTTTTAGCAGTTGCATGAAAACATTACAAAGCTTCTCTTCTTTTGCTGGCACAACCAGTAGCTGATAGGTTATGATTGGAGAATACTGGTAGTTTGACCCCACTTGGTATCAAACCCAGGTAAAAAAGTTTGCTACATATTTGGTGTGTGGACTGGCTCTGAGAGAATTTCCAAGGTTTACCCCACGTGTAATGTAAAAATAAGTCAGTTTCTCTCAGCAAGTCCTCCACGAAGGCATCCTTCCTCTTAGGCAGATAGCACTTATGGCTTTGCCAGATTAAAATAACCTAACCTTTTCTTTTACTGGTAAACATGAAATTCAGAAGTTATTATAAAAATATTTTCTGTTGTTTTTTAGACCGTTTTTTATTTAAGTGAAGGTTGATGAATATCATCATCAGTTATACATGTGCTATACGTGAATATTAATAAACAGTAGATCTTCTGGTTAATCTTTGGATTATGGTAACTTGGCGATTTTTTGGCGAAAATTTGGCGACCAACCCTGTTACAGCAACCTGCTAGTTTTTGTTTGAACACCATTTTGTTTTCACAAAGTAAAGGTTTTTTTATTTTTTTTTATTTTTTACTCAACATTTTTTTCCAACAATCTGCTAGCCGAATTACGCTTATGCTATAACTTTTATGGAACAAAAGTGCTTAATCACGACAAAGATTAGGTGCAAAATTGAGAGAAAGTGCAGAATCGCCCACTGCTTGCCGCGTTTTTAAGAATTGCACATACACGGTATCATCCATGTACACGTCGACCTATTTTCACTTAAAAAAATAGCCCAGAATTGCACAAAAATGGCATTGCGCACACTCTTCACTTTATCCATGTACATTGCTCAAGTCCTAGCTAATAACCTTTATCACCTGACCAAAATGTTGCCAAACTACCTGTTACTATATTCCAAAGATTAGCTGATTTTCTTTATATTTGTGTTCATTAGCGGCCAAGTGGATAAAATTGCTGAAAATTAATAGGTTCAAATTCAGACGAATGGGCTGATTTTATTTGTGCTTTCATAGTTATCTCTGTATATAACATGAGCCAATACTCATAGAAAATCTTCCATGAAGGCATCTCTCTGGGACAAATAGTCTTAACATATTATGTCATCATTAAATAATTTGAATCTTTTGTGAAATTTGGCAAAAATCTCCCTTTTTCTGAAAAACTGAAAAGAGAAAAAACAGTTCCTTAGTTTTTATTGCATATTTTTCACTCAATTTCAGTGAATGTGATTTTGTTCCTTCTCAAGATAAATCATCTAAAAATAATTATGAAGTCAAAAATATAAAATTTAAACTTTTCAATGAATACAGCAGATTAAGATTTTAGAGCATGTCCAGAAACAGCCCCTTTTTAATAAAAAACCAAAACATAAACAAATACAAAAAGGGAGGGAATTGGAATATATGCTAATAATTATAGGTGATCTAATAAATAATTGTGGGGATAGAAAAATTAGCAATGACAGAAATAATATAAAAAATTTGTCTATTAAAATCCATTAATGTGCCTACTTAAATCTGAGTTAAAAGCTGATTCATAGTTTTGTGCATTTTCATTTTTCAATATCTCAGTATAAAACAAATTCACTACTATTAAAACAGAATGAAATTAAATATGCATGATCTTACAGATTTGATAATTTTATTTAGATATTTTATAACTGAAATGCTTTTTATCTGAGAAGTATGTAATAAAAATATTGAAATTCTGATATTCTATTTGTTTGCTGCTGTTCATTTTTATAGCGCAAATCTTTATACGGCATTCCGGTTTATATTTTTTTACGTATTTACTTTTGCAAAATATCTTTTTTTTGGGGGGGGGAATAGTGTTTAAATATTTTTTGCACTTAAAACATGAGGCTAGATCTGCCATTTAAATGAAAAAGGGAAATTGCGTAAAAATGGTAAATGGATATGGTGATACTTCCCGTATGCTTTGAAGCTTATAATTACATTTAAAAAAGAGAAGCTACATTTAACAACATACATAAAACAACGTACATTAATTACATAAAATGTTAAAAATATTGTTTAACAAGGTCATTTCTATAAAATAACCAAAGAAAATTAACAGCACCAAATACAAAAACCTGTGTTGACAAACAAGAATAGCATAACAATAATGCACTTATTTGCTGGCATTTAATACCTTTTTGTTTTAGAACCACTAAATGAGGAAAGAGGTACATCTGATTTCTGAAGACATCTGCTTGGCTGCAAAATATTTACTTCAGTCTTTTCTTCTGTTTTCTTTTTATATTCACTGTTTTCTATTTTGTAACCATCCTAAATAACAATAATTATAAAAAGTAAATGTTCAAAATAGCATGGAAGTTTCAGAATTAACAACTAAAATTTACATCAAATTTTTTGGCTCACTTACATGCAACATCGTTTCAATATTACAATACTTAATTAAAAATGAAAAATAAATTAAAAACTCCACACATACTTAATATGCATTTGTTCACTTTATCTTGGTATAACTTTTTAATTACACATAATAAGCATCATTTTACCTCAAAAAACTTGACAAACACTTGACTAGTAAACAAAGGTGGATAACTAGCTGCAAACTGAAGCAACTGCAAAGCACTTTGTCTTCGTTCTTCAATTACAGAGTCATCAAATCTACCTGTAAAATAAAAGATTTCATTCTAATTTCTATTTTGAAAGACAAATAAAATTTTGGAATACTCGAGTAAAATACTGCACATTACATTGTTCACTACACAATTGTAACTGCTCTGGGGTAAATCATGTAATAATGATCATAACTAAAAATAGTGCTTGTGTTACAATTCTGATCCCTGCCAATATGTTGTCAAAATGCCTACGAGTCTGGTTCCTGTGAGAATTCAGCATCCCTATAAGCAATTCAGGATTCTTTTATATTTTTTCCCCTTTCTTAATAAAATATATGTAATGATATTTTTAATTCAATTGATTAAATTAAATTCTAATCATATTGCTTAATAATGTGTTGGTGATTCTCTACCTAAATTACATCCCTGTTCCTAAATTTGGTGAAATCCTTTCTTTATTATAAATTATATTAACCTGTTGGCGCCCGCCAAATCGCCAAACTCATAAATCTGTCATATTACAAAGTCCTTAAGAACACTCCTGATGATTAGATAGCGTCACCTCGTGATTTCAATTAATATCGCTGATTGGATGAGCAGCATGATGCACACATACTATAAATAGGGCTTCTCCTCAAGGTACAGGAGGATTACCTTGGTGTTATTATTAATGATCAATTTTCCTGGAAGGATTACCTGACTCATGTCAGGGGAAAAACACTAGGAGTCATTCAGAGTCTTAACCCACTTATTAACGAGCACTCTAAACTGGACTTAAGAAGAAAACGGCACTTATACATCTCTGTTATACGGCCAATCTTCACGTATACTTCCCCTGCGTGGGCATTAGTTAGAGACAGGGACATATCTAAATTACAAATTACACAGAATAAGTTGCTGGGCACCTTCCGACATGCGCATCATTTCGATCTAATAGGACTTTACACAAGGATTGAAATTGAAACTGTAATAGAGCATCTTCATTGCTTAAACTCCAGCTTTTTCCAGAAAGCAGTTACATGCCCTCACATGTCAAAATTACATGTATTTGACACATTCCCTACTGAAGTAAAGAGTTACGACCGCTGGCAGCCCACCTAGCCAGAGATCTGAACTTTCCATATAATGTAGAATATTCCTGTATATAGTGTATATATTGTGTTATAGCTTTTATGAATACTTTTTTCATTTTCATCGAAACTTTTATATGATATCTGATCTTGCAAACTGCACTTTCTCACTGTAACTCTATGTCTGCAAAGTATGCTTGGAGAGTTTGTATTCCTACAAATCGTTCTGTCATGTAGTATATTCTCACAGTAGCTTATCACAAAAACTCATGATTGCTTACTTTGTACTGCTCCGTCTGCGGGCGTCTTCTTGTCTGCCTAACCTAGGCTTGCGGCATCTTGCTCGCCCCCTTCTGCCTCACCCCATTCTCTTAACTCCTACTACGTCAGACTTCCTACCGTCATGTGCCTACTGGCTCTCCTCATGAGCTGGAAAAAGCGCGCTTCGCCAGCCATACTTGTTCGGATCGGATCGGTACAGGAGGAACGCTTGCGAGATGGATGCTAAAATAAACGTATCACTTTATATTCCAAAATTTGTTTCATTCCTGTTGCCCCGGCTGCACAACACAAATAATGTATGATATTCCACATTTCAGAAAGCCGGCAGGATTCCACCTTCAAAGGGATTATCTAAAAAGTAAGATACCCCAAGGATTATCTGGATAAAATGTTACGCACTTTAGATGAATTTGCCGGTGTGCGACTTCTATGTTCCTATATTTTTCTCTAGGCGTTATCGTTTCAAGAGAATCATCCTTCTGTTACCTGTATGTTCTGGTATTCTGCAGATTTTTTTTTTTTTTTTTTTACATTCAGAGAATCAATTGTGATCCGTGTCTACATCGAAAATTCGTCGTTCATCAAATGTGCTCTTACCGCTGACCTACTTTTGAGGCTGGGAATCCTCCTACATCTGCGCCATTTAGTGTTGCTCTCGAGAGCTGTGTGCTCGTGTGGTGAGTGATCGTGTTTTACGAAAACCTAATCAAGAGTGTGCAAACGTGTATTTTTGTGTTGATTTCATCACTTGTATTCTCGTCACAATAAGTCAAACAGAAACAATTAGTAAAAAGATTTGTGATGCAAAAGATATTATTAGTATTGAATTATAATTACTGATTTAATAATTGTGTTTTTCATTTTGACAATTTTAAGTATTATTTTAATATAAATGTGTTTTAAATTTGGTATTTAAAGGATATATTTTTGGTTTTAATATTGTTTTGGAAAACTTAAAAGAGTATTATTTTGATTTAGTTTTATTTATGAAAGTATTATTAAGAGAATAATGGCTAATGAATATATCTTGATCCTGATGATTCATTAAGTGCAGCTAGCGCTGAACCTGAAACAAGTATAATTCCCTTTGACATGCAGAATGATATGGATATAAATTCATGGCTTGAGTACTTTAACAAAACTCATTTAGATAAAGATGAAACTTTGAAGCTTAATAATGTATCTTGATATTTAAAAGGTAATGCACTTAGCGTACATGTCAAAAACTGCCATCAAATTACTAAATATGTGGAATTAGTCCAAATTTTAAAGGAAAAATTTTTCGACCCCACTTTAACTACGTTTCGTGATTTTGCCAATTTCAAATACAAGTCCCAGAAAATATTCTGAGTGACAGGAATGCAGTCTTCACTTCCTCTAGAATAAAAAAAATCTTAAAAAGCATAATGTTAAACAACTTTTAACTTCATCTCATCATCCCCAGAAAAATGGTAAAGTAGAAAGAGTAAATCAATCAATAGTAAGTTGACTAAAATGTTAAGTAAATTCTTCTAAAAAAGTACCATGGACTAAAGTGCTAGAGCAAGTTGTTATCGAATATAACAACTCCCCTCATACGGTAACTAAGTTCACCCCAGCATACTTACTATTTGGTAACCTCCCTTTTGAATCTCCAATTGATCAAAATAAATACCCTTCCTTAAATGAAGCAAGGGCTTTAGCAAAGAAAAGAACTATCGAATACCACCGAAAGAATAAAACTAGATATGACATCAGATTTGTAGAATCTAAATTTCAACCTGGAGATTTTGTCCTTTACGAGGAATTTCGAATACCCAAATACTAGAAAATTGACTTCACCCTATTCAGGCCCTTATCAGATTATGAATAAATTATCTGAAGTTAATTATGAAATCGACAGGGAAAATTTTCACACGAAGAAACCAACTGAGATTGTACATGCGTCAAAATTAAGGTTCTATTATCCACCCGAGAACTTTAAATTACATCATGAATAAATCAAAATTTATAAATCAATAAACTATCCATAACCCTTCTTTTAGTTTTCATCCTGTTGTCCCCCTTAATAGTTGATTTATCTCTCAGTGTCTGAAAAGTTTGTCTGCCCTTTTCTTTTACTGGGCTCCTTCAAACTTGAGTTTCAGGTTCAATGCACTTTCCGTGTGGGAAAACACTCAATTGAGGCTATACTACAAGTAGAGTACTATACCCTCACATTTCCTTGAGCTCATGTTTTCCTATGTTTGTGTTATAAATTGTAGCAACAGTTGAAAAAGTTAAATTTCAGTTGTTGAAATTTCTGAATTTCATTTTATGTTTCTGCAGCATCGTGTACAAAAAACTGGTATGGATGTTGGAAGTTAAATTTTGTTTTGTTATCATTAATAAGAGAAAAATAGAGTGACAAAATATGTTAAAAACCTAGCAAAATGTGTATTTTCAACAAGAGTATAAGAGCTCTAGTATCGTGACATAAAAACTCAAATGTTTTCAGTGCCAATGCTCAATCCATAATTCTAGCGCTAATTAAATGATCCGGAGATCTCCAAAGACCAGTAAAAGACTGAAGATGAGCCTGAATGACAACTCTAATGATTGTACGGACTCATACACAAACTGTGAATGGCATGCCCTAAGATATAAACTTACAATTCAGTTATATTACTATTTTCTATTGCCGCGTAGCTAACCAGCAATATTCTGTTGCCCGGTGCACAAACAAAAATTTGAGATTCTATTTAATATATATGTGGAAGTATACAGTTCGTAACGTAAATGCCACACTTGAAAATTTATTACCAAAAGAAACACTTCACAGTTCTGGAACTTTCCACAAAAATAGTGATACAGCTCTTTACAGTATCACAGAGTACAATCAATAGTTACACATGAAAATACTAACAAAGTTAAACACGATGCAATGCAAAGCCCATCTAACAGCTCTCATAGATATCTCAATACTCCGAATACACTTTGAACTAACTACAGTCAAAAGTTGTTAATCCGGACTTCGGCGATTCCGGATTATCGATTTTTCCGAATTATAGATCATCAGTTTAAATCTGGTAAGATGGCATGCAGAAATTATAAAATTAAAAATATGAAACTTTAATTTATGAAATAAAGAACAATTATGATCTAAAGGCTATCAAAATTTACAAAAAAATGCTTAATATTTATTTGTTTACTTTATTAAACGTTTCTTTCAATGTAAGTTGTTTAAGTTGCTTCGTTTTTTATGTGATAATACATTCTCTTTAATTCTATAAACAGACATAATTTCTTCTTCAGTTACAAAGTTCCGCTATTCAAGTCCTATAATTGCTGTGTCGAGAATACCGACTAATTTGTCAATCGAAATTTTTTCGTTTTCGATAACCTCTGTGTCACTTTCTTCACTATCGGAAGCAAATTATAATGACAAGGAATTTGATTTAAATCATATCAAAGACGGAGTACATCTAGATGAAATACTACATTTAGTAAAGAATTATAAGCCAAGTAAAATAAAAACATCTGCCCTGAAGATAAGGATAGTGCTGACAGATCAACTTCCAATTCATTGCGCATTTTTTTTTGAATCGGATTCCACGATCACACCTTCTCACCTTTCTTCAATCGATTCTTTTTCGATGTCCTATAGCTCTTGTGTCGTATTGAGTCTTATCTCTGCCATTGCCAAGCTGACTCATTCTCATGCAAAACTGTGCCTGAACATCTTGAATGCACTCTTCAGCCGCTGAAGGTGTATCAGGAGAGTGAGCATACAAGAGATCACAAGACAGATGAAGGTCACGACCAAAGAGCATCTGGGATGGGAAATAGTTGGTAGTCTCACTGACAGCATTGCTTTAGGCCAGTAAGAATGGGGGTGACTTTCAGTTTTAGTCCTGCCGGTTTCTGGAAATCATAGGCAAGAAATTATTAAGATTCGATTAAATCTCTCTACCATGCTGTCTAACCACAGATGTAAAGGTGCTGTTTTGGGTTTTGTTGATGTCTTTCAGAATTCTTTAATTACAGCCAAAGTAAAATTTCTTCCTTAATTGGAATGTAACTGAAGTAGCACTTCAGACCTGGAAATCCAATGCTATATCGTTACCTCTGCTACCAACCCTGGAACAATATTGGCAGCTTTCTGGACTGTGTCTTTTAAACAGGATGAGCAGCGTTTCCACGTGATGATACTGTTTCATGTTGGATAGTGATGCCATATTCCTGGAGTCTCTGTATCCATCTTGCTATTTGGCCTAAGGGATTCTTGAAATTGAATAGCCAGGTCAACAAAGCATGATCTGTGCAGAGCAGGAATTTTCTTTTCTGATGATACAGTAATTCCTCTCTGGTTTAGATAGATACTTGCTTTAGCATGCTATGACATGTTAATGATTGATATACATGATGATTAATGATGGACAGAATAATGATGGAAATATTCTAAGATTTCAACTATGGTGTGCAATTCTTTTCTGGTGATGCAGTTATTCTTCTCCAGTTTAGATAGAAACTTGCTCTATTAAGCTACAACATGTTCTTTAGCATGTAATTCTTGGGACAAAGCAGCACCGATGCTCTCATTGCTTGCATCTGGGTCACAAATGAATGGTTTGTTTAGCTGAGGCTATATCAGGACTGTCACAGATGTTAAAGCTTCCTTCAGTTTGTTAAATGCATCCTTACATTCTTTTGTCCACAAGAACTTTTGCTTGCTCTCTGTTAGCTTGTGAAGGGTCTTGCAATGGAAGAAAAGTACTTCACAAATCTCTCTTGATAAGTGCAAAGATCAGAAAACTCCTCAGCTGATGTACATTTTTTGGAGTGCCTCCAATCTGTAATTGCCGACACTTTTCTGGATCCGTACAAAACTTTGCCTGAAATGAAATGTTCCAGGCTGGAAGATTGGCATCCTTCAGTTTCTGAAGCAGCTTCCTAATACTTTCTAAATGCTCTTCAAAACTCTTTCTGATGTTATCCTTATATCATATAAGGCATCATAGAAAAGCCCTCTCAATACACCTCTATGAGGTGTTCAAATCTTGCAGTGCATCACATAATCCAAACGTCATCATTTTGAACTGTCAAGTTCTTGTCAGTCTCCAGCAGTAAATGCATATTTTTTGGTCATCAGGGTATATCTCTACCTGCCAATATCCACTCTTTAAATCAAACATTGAAAAACATTTGTTTCCAGCAAGAGTGTCCAGCATATTGTCAATTTTAGGAATACGGTAGCTCCCTTTCTATGTAACCTCATTCAACCAGCAATAGTCAATGCAAAATCTAGTTGAACCATCTTTTATTCATAGCAGGACAATGGCAGAGGACCAAGGAAGGCTCACTAATGTTGCTTTCCTAAATGTCCTTTATAAGTTTTGCTACCTCTTCCTGTTTAGCAATCAGTAGACATTTCGGTGTTGCCTGATTGGAGGATGATCCCCTCCAACAATTCTATGCTATGTCAAATTGGTTCAACCTATGTCAGAAGACAAGCAGGAGAAAACATCTTGAAATTTTCCAGTGACAGATTCGGTAGCTGCTTAGTTGTGCAATCTGATATTAGGGTTTCCAAAGACATAGAGATTGGTAGACTATTGGGTTGTTTGATACAGGATCAGAAATGATTACAATTGGCATATATATAGATTAACCCTCTCAGCGTTACGAACGGATTTTTCCGTATTAAAAGATGGCTTTTCAAATCATCAAGCACGGATTATTTTGCCAGATTTTGATGAATCCGAAAGTGTTTCAAACGATTTTTTCTGCCTTACTTTTTCCACCTCGAAACCGTTGAGGACGGAATATTCCGTACTGTCGTTCCCTCCGACCTCCTGTGGCGTTTAATTGGTAGTGGGGAAATGGTGATCGTTAGAGAAAGATGTTACAATGGGAGGGTCATAAATAAAAACATCACATCCAGCCATACCATCTGCCGACCTGAGGGCGATTTTCGTGCCAAACTGGAAAATACTGGAAAGCCTTCAAGGCAAACCTTTCTGTATGTGAAAAATTTGCGAAACAAATTTTCTTCTGCAAAAGTAAATGTAATTTGCACTGAACCCATGAAACAACTTTTAAAGAATTCAGCATCGCCTAATTTACAAATAATTTTTTTTAGCATGGAATAAATACTTAAACAGGTATCTTACAATGACTGTAGAAACAAAGAAATTAAATATAATTTTTGTTTTAGCTGTGGGCATTGATTAAAAACACTGTATTTTTTAAAATTATTATAACAGTTCACAAAAGTTACTTCAATCAAATCTTGTAATTCCATCTCAAACTAATTTGTCATTTATATGTTTGCATCTAAATTCATTTAGTTGTGTGAATGTGAAGTATGGACATTTTATTATTGCAGTATGAGGACAAAGTGCGTTTCCTTAAAGAAAAAATTCGTTTTACTCTTTTGATTTCTCGTCTAAAACGAACTACTGAGAAACTTCCTTGGCATGATATGAAAATCATTCGCAAATAATATCGTATTTGATTAAATCGCTTTTTTGGCGTTGATAAAATAAAGTACTGAAAGTACGTGAAATCGCATGAAAATGTATTTTTACCCTAAGCAAAATACTTCCGTTTTACTGAAAGTATTATCGAATAAAAAGGTCCGAATGATATTTGATTATGAATATTTTACTGTTATGAAGATGTGTTTATTTCCGAATTTCGAAACGGTTGGGACATAAAATTCTCAGCAGGTAAGAGTAAATAATTATCAAAAATAGTTGTGAGTGGAAAAAATGTAAATAGCTTTTTATAAAATCGTCACAAGCATTATGCAGAGGTGGAAAAAATATGATGGTGATCTGGGTGATGCAAAAAATTTCAAAAAAGGAAATAAGGATTTCTGATCATTTGTCTATATCAAGATTTGAAATTACACAATTAGATGCTCAGATAAAAATAGACAACTGTAACTTTCACGGAGGACTTTGGATGGGAAAACAATTTGTTATTTACGAGTACGGTTAATTAAAACAAAGGAGAGCTCTCTCTGTATGGGAAGGGATGCCTTCTTGGAAGACTTTTTAAAGAAAACTTGTTTGTATTTACGATACAAGTGGGAAAATTCAATTCCAGATCAAACTACTAGTGTTCAGTGACGTTACTGCCCGATCGCTAGTGGACGTTATTTATGACTAAGGACTGATGATCTATGTTAAATTAGGAACTGATTACCATTTATTTTTAAATTCATTAGTTAGTACTTATGCTTGGGGTTTTACTAAAAAGGCCAATATATGCAACCCAGGCAGCATGCATTCGTAAATTGCACAAGAAAAATACGTGCAATTTACGAATGGCCTTTCGTATAAAAAATGTTCAAGTTGAACGTAAAAATATCATAAAACGTGTCCAGTGGCAATTACTATATATTTACGTACATTTTTATGTTATACAATACGTAAATTTTACGTAAAATTTAGGTATATTTACGCGAGAGACTGCTGTTCATTCGCAGTTTTCTTTGCATATGCGAATGACTGGTAAAAATTTAATCCGATGTCTTCTCCACATTACTGCGTATAAATGCAAATTTTTTACAAAAAAATGTCAATTTGCATAAATCTCCAGTTACCTTTTCACTGCATTTTTCATAAAATGTACTTATTTTAATCTCATATTTTTTATATAAATCTATGCAAAAACTTTCTGCATGCTATGATTAAAAGGTAAAATGTCATTTTTATATCAAATTTTTACATATCTGTCTTTTAGTTATGTACAGCAATATGGAATATATATAACTGGAAAATTTAAATGCCCTAATAAATGAAAAAAAAATTCTATTAAAAAATTATGTAACACTTAAAGGCTGAAAATCACTTTTAATATTTCATTTCAAAGTGACTACAAAATATGCACTAAATTTTGTAAACATCAATGTTTGAAATCAATTAATGCTATTGTTCATTTACATTTTTGTTTACTAAATTCATTTCATAAATTTAAATCTAGTAAACAACTGTATTTTTTTTCATCAAACAGCTTTATGGTATTAAATGATTTAAAAGGAGGCAACTGGACAAAAGAAAGCAATTAGAAGTTGGCTAATTTTTTATTAATTTGTTGTCAAATGCTGTGCATTTTAGATTATGCTCATATGATGACAATGAGTTATTTAAATTATAAAATTATTATGAACATATCCCACATAAATTAACACAAGTATCAAATTTCAAGTTGTTTGAAGTATTATGAACTGTAATACTTGCAAAAGAAATACACATGAAATTAATTTAAGAATTAGGTTTATTTTACAGGTATTCGAAAACTGCAATTACTGTTAAACAATAAAAACCAACATTAAATCTGAAGAGCATAATTTTTCAATAATAAAATTCAACACAGATTTCATCCAACTTCGCCATATTTGTTCTATAGTTCGCTGTCTTTAATATCCTGCTCGATTTTTGTAAAAGTGAATTATTTGTCACCCAATGTTTTGAGAACAGCTCCTAAACAAGAAAAAGAAAAATTTGTAATAATTTCAAACTTCAGATGTTTTCAGTTTTTAAATATAGTTGAAGTATTAAAAGATGCATATAAAATGCACTGAGTGTTTCATATTTAAAAATGTACATTTCAGTAATTAAAAATTTAAGTTCATACTATCACACAGTAAACTTCAATTATATACCTTACACAATGCCTATAATTTCAAGTAAAAAATACCTAAAGATTTGTTTAGAATTGCAAGGTTAAGAAAGTCTTTAATGGCTGTGTTTGTATTTAAGTACACGAGAAAAAATTTAATTTTGTATTAATTATGTTGCATTAGCCTTTCCAATTTTACTCCTACATATAGTAATATTCGCTTTCTTACAGATAACTTTTTCTTAAATAAAGAGTAAGCAGAAAACTAATCACAACACTATATACATATAACAGAATACTTCATAAACATGTCATTAACATACGTATACGCATTAACAGGCTATTTTACACATTTCAATAAACCAGAAGCCAATACACAATCAAAAGTATTATCAGTAAATTCCTCCAAAATCAGAACATAAATCTTTAATTATGCTAACAATGACATCTCAATTAAGACACAATAACACGCTGAATAAATACTAATTCAGAAGTCAAACAACAAAAATCAGCGTTATATTTACAAATTTTTCACAGGACTAGTTTCGATGGATTTACCGAACCACCATCCTCAGCCGCAAAACCGCAAATGAACAAGATAGGAAATAATGATTAGATAAGATAAGAAAGCCTGGACAAGAATATACATGTCATTAACATATGTATACGCATTAACAGGCTGTATGCAGCTGGACATCTCAGTTTGCAATATAAAATATTTCAAGTCTACATTCATGTGCATTCTAAGCAAACAGAAAGCTGAATAACAATAAAATTATAAATACCATAAAAAAGTTAAAAGCCACACACAATGATAGCAAGACTAAATGAAGTCTTCCTTCAAAAATCAATTTAAATTCAAAAATTTCCCTTCCTATTTAACATCCCAAAATAGGGTTACTGCTTTCACTAACTAAATTTCCTGTCTTGGCAAAATAAAAATTGTCACTTCTGTTGCAGGAAATATTTGCTGCAAACTTTGTATGCAAATAATCCAGTGAAAAAAAATTTAATTGTGGCTTGAATATTTTCTTTATTAAATAAATGAAAAATTCCCACGTAATATTAATTTATGATCCACATGAAGCTTTTTACCTCGACCATATCATGCAGCTATTTTAAAATATATACTCTCATATAAAAGCCACAGAATTTTTTTACCAATACTAATATGGTATAAATCATTAATAAATCTTCTAAAAACAGCCCAAAAATTTCTGAATTTGATACCCAAAACATAATTCTACGTAACTGTTAATGTATGCATTTGCTTGCACATACTTAAAATGAATTATGCACACAAAAACTTAACGTAACATATTAACTTTAATAAATTCTTAATTAGCAGGATGATTCAATTAAGGCAAATATGAAAGAAATTTACCTGGTGGAATAGTTGTAAAAGATATATTTAAAAAAAGCTAATACTGTTTACCTTACACATGGCAGAAATTGAGTAAACTGTATGCAGCTGGATTATTTATTAGGAATAGAAGTTAGATCAAAGTACCAGTTCTGGAAGGCTTTAAACATTTGGGTGCAAAGAAGCATCTCAATTTAAAAAAGAATAAAAGCTAATAGAATTTTATAACTTTTACAA